TTTCAAGGGCAAGTCGGGTCCAAAGAAATGCACACATTTGCCGAGGATCAACTGTGCCGCAGGGGATGTCCATATATCGAAGGTAAGATTGATCTGGGACCTGTGTCACCGAAGGCTCCGCGGAAGGAGATTCCTTCTCCTCCTCCTCCTCCTCCTCGTCGTCGTCCTCTGCAATTGTCTCCCTGCGAAATATTTTGACAGTCTTATGATGACGTCCGGATAGATGCCTCGAAACATTGCAAGGGATTTGATCCGTGCGAAAGGAGATGCGACCATCACAATGATCACATATCCAGTGACCAGTATTGGGTTGATTGGCCTTGATATATTCAGAAAAACCATAATACCAAATCGCAGAGGTCTGAGATCGACGGCGTTGATTGGGCGGGCGCTCAACTACCTAGGTACCACTCCTGGCCGTCTGTTCGACGTCTAGGCGCGCGGCGAGGTATCGGTCTTGTTTGGAGGGTGAAAGGAGACAGAGAGAGAGGATTCGACTGAGGTGAAGAGGGTGACGTCTCATAGAACCCTATGAAGCGGAGGAGGAGGGAGGCGCGAGTAATCCGCCTGGGCTCATGAAGAGTCATCTCCTGGTGACATTGGTAGAAACCAGAATCATTGGGTGTTGTTGATGCGCTTGAGTACTGTAGGGGGAGAGGGAGGGAGAGAGGAGGGAGAGAGAGTGTGTGTATATAGTATGCGAGATTGGAGTGTGTATCAGTCAAGTGTATGTGTCTAGATCGAGAACGGCGAAGAGGCAGAGACCAGTCAACTCATGATTAGTATGGGGTAAGGAAACCACGACATCTAGACTAGACCAGGCAAGTAGTTATTGACTTGGAGAAGCGCATTTTGCACTCGATGAAACAGGGAATGCGAATGAATAGATCTTACTCTGTCCATGGGTTTGCAATGATACATACCATGAGCCAAGTATACAGTACATAGACTGCAACTGCAAAGCCTGGTCAATGGGTCCGGACATATATGGGGGAATCATTCCCAACTAGGCAGATAGGTCGAGTTGTTCGTGGTCACTTCTCGTCGGAGATGCGGACGAAGCCGGAGCCAAGAGATGCAGACGCCAATCAATGGCGGACCGGGGAAACTAAACTCCGACAGTACATATACTGTACATTTTCCCCGAGACAATCCGGGGAGACCGTCGATCTCCCGGGTCTGATTGATCTTGATTGGTCGAATTTTACTGTGATTGACTTGCTTTTGATACATGTACTGTAGGTGGCTTGAAGATTGGCCGCTCTCTTCTCCGTATTGGCATTGACATTAGCGAGGAACAGACCGAGGCGAGCGAGATCGAATCGTAGGCCGATGCCTGCCCAAAGTTCACATCAACAACAGCGCGCGCTACAAAGGGGTCCAGCTCACACCGGCCGAAGGGTGTGTCCATTTCCAAGAAAAGATCGCCCGCAAAAAATTATAGACTTGACGATCTTATGGCTAGGGGAGCCAATAATAACCATCACCCTGGTCCCTGGCTTGTGAGGTCCCACTGACCAACATACTAACCACCCTATAGTGCCTTGTCAATTTACGTACAATCTGATTGGGTCGGGTTGCCAAAGAGCTCAATGACTTGTGCCAAAGGGATAGGTTAGGGGGTCATAAACCGGTACTGCGTACTATTAAGAAACAGAACCATCCGGGCAGAACTTTCCTCCTTTTCCAAAAGCCCTGCCGTTGGCGATTCAAAAACACTTGAACCTGGAGGCTAGCGCCTAACGGTCAAATTCTTGCATTTGAGCCATGACATCTGATGTCATGTGACAAAACTCACCATGGTCAGCGGAAACAACGAGTTCGGCATCTCCCATGAGACCAAACTGAAGGCTCGACTTGGCCCAGTAGGCTTTTGGTGGATTGGGTTCGTCATTGGGTGGACGCTTTTCCTCTTCTCGGGCATGGGCTTCTTGTTCTACAAACGACATGCTCCCTCGGCCAAGGTGCGAGGGATATGGGTGCCCTTTGCCGCAGTCATTGCGCTCCACTTGTACTGGTGCTCCGTCAACCTGGGATACATATATGGACCCATATTCCCCGGCGAAGCAGAGTTCTGGATCATGGGCATCTATCTTCCTCTTGGGTATGCTCTGTTCCATGCCTCGAACAGCAGGTTTCTGCAGGTGGCACAAGTTCAAGAGCAGTATGCCACGTCCTTTGGTCTGGCCGAGGCAATGGATCGCCAGCGCATGACGTCCGCACCAGTGAGAAGGCACAAGGGCCCAAGGTGGCTGGCTTGTCGGCTTCGAAGCGCGGATCCAGCTCGAAAGTTAGCGTTTTGGATTACGTGCGGCATGGTTGTACAATTGACTCTCACAGTTACCATGTTCCTCATCTCCAGAAAGTACCACCCCAGCTTCGGTATCCCCGGGACTGAGACCCACGGAACAGAAAAAGAACAACTGATGCAGAAAGGGAGAGGTTGGGAATGGTCAGTGGCCTGCATTGTTGTCATTTTATGCTTTCTCCTTCGTTGTACCATACTGAGATTCTCATAGGTGGCCATCCATTGCCTGGCAAATTGTCTGGAGTTGGGGTTACTCGCTCTACAACCTATGGAGATCCCGCCACATCAAAGACACTCACGGTTGGCGGCTGCAAACGATCGGTTGCTGTCTCGCTGGGTAAGTCATTCCGGGAAGATAGGTTTTGCCGCGGTCTTCTGTTGTTGACAAGTTTCGTAGTCTGCCGGCTTCACCAATGTGGTTGATTGCACTCTACGTCCCTGCCATGGCGCCGATCAATAGCCACTGGATCCCACCACAATGGTACGCTCGCTCGGCCGTTGGGCAGTCTTCGTCGCTCGATCTGAAATACTGACACCAGACAGGATCGCTGTTTGCATCATCATGATCGAAATTTTCACCATCTTTGTCCCATGTTCGCAGGTCATCAGGCAGCCGACCATTGACGATGAGCTTCTCAAATCCATCGAGCATTGGGACCTGATGCGGAAATTCAGCAATGCAAGTGTTACTAATTCCAGATCTGCGGCATTTACCGAATCTTCCGATTCTGCATTCGAGAAGGCTTCGGGGAAGCAGGCTTCATCATCCACCTCGTGCGCTGTAAAGAATCCAAAGACTTCAAAGACTTCAAACATGGCCGCTTTGGAGGAGACTTTAAAATCCAATCCTGGCTCTTTACAGGCCTTTGCCGCGTTGCGCGACTTCTCTGGAGAGAACGTCGCGTTTCTTGTCAGTGTCATGGAGTGGAAGTCAGCGTGGACCTTGGCGGCGCCGCAGAAGGCACCGCAATCGCCCGTGCGAGGGTCAGAAGCTGAGAGACGTCTGGTCCGTCAGCAATTCAACCACGCACTCTCAATATACGTGCTTTTCATCAGCTGGGAGCACGCACCTACTCCCCTAAACCTAGCGAGCAAAGAGTATCACAACCTAAAGCAGATCTTTCAACATGCGGTGCAGCTTCTCTACGCAGACGTAGAGACGAGCGAATCTCAGTTTGCACCGTCCGGACACTCAGTTCTTCCTTTTGCGTCTGATGTGTCAGGGACCTCCTTTTGCGGTGAAGGCGACACCACAAACATCTCTAGCCGAGTGTGGTACTGGGGCCCAATCCCCGAGGCCTTCCAGCATGATATCTTCGACGCTGTGGAACGCAGCACTAAGTATTTGGTTTACACCAACACCTGGTCTCGATACAATGGCTCGATTCGCTCCAATGATCAGTCTGCCGATGACGGAAATCAGATCCAGAGCTTCTGGCGTCTTCAACGGGCATTTCTGAACAAGATCAGGTTCAAGATAGGACGACTCTGAGATATGAAATGTGTCGTATGAACAAAATGACAAGCTGATAGCGCGTAACCATAGCGTTGTAATATGCCCATAAACGCCGCGTCTAACCTCGGGGTAACAGGTATCTGCAAAAGGGTGTCAGGAGGATGGACAAGGAAGCAACATTGCGAATGTTTGGGAGTCGACCATATTCTACCCTGTATGTCAAGGAGAACGGTAGTTTCTGCCATAAACATATCCGGCGGCGACCTCTTCATTCGTGAATGCATCCATAATGACGTCTCAGTCTTCGCGACCATTTCACATGAACCATTAGCCAACAACGGAAAATGTTTTCGAACTGTGTCCTCCGCGATACTCGTCATGTTTTATGTCGCCGAAGGACCAACAGCTGGAAGGACATTCGCGTTGCAGGCTGTGTAGAATTGGCTAGTCTAGACTGGGCTTAGCCCACCCGTGAGTAATCAATCAATCATTCAACCTCAGCAACTACATTTGACTCTTTTATCGCAGCTAAAAACACCCGATCAGGTTCCAGTCGTCCACGACGGGACGAAATGAATCCTGCACTGGCCGGCGCTTCAAGTGAACTCACTCGGAAATGGTGGGTCGTGAGCGCCTCTGTGGACTCGTGCAGCTCTTCATCAGCGGCCAGACTGCTATCCTCGGGATCTGCAGCCTACCATTTTGGCAGACGGTCGGTTCCTTCGATCCTTTTTACCTTTGCCTGATCACCTCTCCGGTATTCGACTTCATCATAGTATGCAAAGGCTGTCGCAACACAGCTCATATGGCCTTCAGAAAGAAAATAGACTAAAAAAGCATCTGAACAAGAGCTAGTATACCTGTTGAGTAGCCATCGCACGCAACGTGGCGAACTCAGTGTCTCGTACGCTGAACCACGTAAGACTGCACAAGGACTACGGAGGATTGGAAGTCGGTGTTGCGGAAGAGATTTGGACAAGAGAAGCACGCCAGTCACAGAGAAGCTATCCAGCTGGAGACCGAGTCTCCATGTCGCACAGTCGACCCATCGGCCACAGTGCACAACAACTGTCCGTCCTAGGGTAGGTTTTAGTTCTGGAACTCCCTCGCCGGGTCCAAGGCCAGGAAGAATGTCAGCTCCTACGAATGTAAAGCAGGAACCACTCAGTCCATACGCACCACCACCACCACCACCACCACCACCAGAGCTGCCACCACAGCATCCACCATACCCCATCCACCATACCCCATCCACCATATGCCACCAGCCGAGAACCTCACCTTACACAACCATTATCAACAAACAGCCGCAGCTTTGCTACCACCAGTCCCGACCTGGAATTCGCCACAGTCACCGTACAGCGGTCGCTCTGAATATCGACAGCGGCCACTAGATCTTACACGTCAGCATCCATACCTACCTCCAGGTCAATTATATCCTCCACCGCCAGCGGCGGTAGGAAGAGAGGCTCCAGGTTATCCCGCTGATCCAGGATACAGGTGGCCAGGATCCAGGTGGCCAGGATCCAGGTGGCCAGGGAGTGTGGCGGGTCGTCCAAGATCTCCCGCTGAGCTCCGACGTCCTCCCCATCATCTCGTGAGTATCCACGATGCTCCAGACTATGGTTCGCATCCTTGCCACACTAGTCCCGACAGCCAGCCAAACGGAATCCATCACCCATTTCATGTGGTGACAAGCCACGACAGAATGGCCGGGCAACATCCTGGACCTCCTAGACCTTATGGGCCACACCTCGCAGAAACATCACCACCCGCGGGGTATCATGTACAGACTTCATATCACAATCCCGATCTTCAGCGAAGACGGAAGGCTGTGCGAGCGGCAGAAGCATGCGATTCCTGTCGACAACGAAAAACAAAATGCGACGAGAGCAGACCGCAATGTCATCATTGCAAGGTCAACGGCTTGACATGTACATATAGAGAGTTACCGTTGAAGAAGTCGGAGAAGCAAATAATTGACATCACTGGTAGATTGGAGACGATAAACAGGAGTATTGAAATGCTTATTCAAAAGTCGAAGACGCAGGACGAGAAGATTGATGCGTTATCGAAAGCGTTGCAGCAGAGGCAGCAATATGACATCGACACGGCGCCAACAATAGATGGACACCAGGAAATTGCCTCACAACAGAATGATGGGTCAACCTTTGTCGCCAATTTTCAAGATGATACATTATGGGCCCATCGCAGAGAAGAGAACTCTGATGTGCAGTCCACAACACGACCACAAGCGCTGCCGACAAGTCCTGCTGGCCAAGCAGAGAACCAGAGAGGGAAAATTTCGAACAAGCCTTGCCTGGAGTCCATACTACTGTGACCTTCTGACGAGACGTTCTCAATTGACCCTTCATCAAAGGCTGATCCCTTCCCGGGCCACGGCATCGTGTGTGATTGACGAAGAATTTGGGCGAGCAAGCGTTACGTCACTACGACCTGGGTGAAGGCGAATAAAAGACAAGACAAGATTGGCGGACATGAGGCTGCTCCAAGCCGCCCAGCTGCTAATTCCGGCCGGCACCTGGATGACGAAACATCATCTTCACCACGCAGCGTCTAGCGCATCGGACAGCTTCAGTCATCAACACTGTCGAGTTCAACAATGCTCATGCTGCGCGAGACCATCCAGGTGGTGTGATCCCCCATGGTAGACCCATGCTGGACTTTGAAGCAATTGACCGGTATTTCCTAACCTACATGGATCATGTGTACATCGCGCATTCCCTCGACAGGAGCAAAAAGCGATCACGACACGAACCCACTCCAAGGCTTCTGACTTTGTGGCTACACGCTCTCGAGAGGCAAGGAGATATTTTCTCCGGAAGTATGATATCCGAGGTAGGAAAGGGCTATGCAACCCTGAGGTGCGAAAGGAGTCTGCTCTAGGCTGAGTTTCGCACAGATCAATTGTCTGAGTTCCTCGTCCATCGAAAGAGTAAGCCGCTTCTGGATTTGTCGTTTGGCTCATCCTTTTTACTTTAACGAGGCCTGTCGAGTGCGCACGGCGCAGCTTAAACCTTCTCCTTCAAAGCTGAGATCCATGAGACAAAAGAATAAGGGGTCTGAAGGCCCACGAAGCTTTTCTCATCCGTGTTCCTGAGTGTTCCTGAGCTGCACCTTGCATTCAATCCCTCATTATTTGCAGGGGCAGCTGGTTTGGAACTGTAATAAGAGAGACATAATGTGCGAAGAGTATGATTGTCTCCAAGAAAGAGCCTTTCATGCCAGAGAATGCTTGACTCATCCTTTACTAAGATCCTGTGCACGTTGATGACTAGGCCTGAATGGAGGAAATCTCATAACCGTGACGCTGATGTGGTTGGAGGGAATAAAGAAAGCACTGCATTTGTACCTAAGATCGCCACTTATGTCATGCGTGAAGAGT